GGCAGTGGAAGCATGTGGCTTCCCGGGAAGTGGGACTGCAGAACCATTTATGCCAGGCGAGGATAAGTAAGCCTCCTGTTACCCTGTTATCCTCGCCAATTAAGAGGATCATATTAATGGATTACATGATTAACTAATTTCACTTACTAAAGCATATATTTCATGTGTATTTCTACTGGTGTTTTCCCCAGGCTATTATTAAAACTGTTCCCATTCATTCCCTGAAATATAAACCAACTGCTGGCAGGGAAATGCCTAAGCATGGCAGGTGGTGAGAGAAGTCCTGTCCAACAGCCGGCATGGTGGTTAAGGCAGCTGGACTCCACATGGTCAACTGCACATCTCCAGTCCTAAGACCCATTGGCTTGAAAAACACACTGAGCACGTGCACACGAGCCCAAAATCCTGAGAGGAGAATGGAGAAGGGATTGTAGCATGACCATCCCCCTGGGGGATGCTGTCTCACTTTCTCTTTCTCCTGTACCCTCATGCCCTATAGTAAATGTAAAAAAATAATAAAAGGGGGAACCAGCAGTTAGCGTAATGGCTATGTCACTGGACTCCCACGTAGTCGACTGCGGTTCATGTCCCAGACCCGGTGGCTTAAAACTCACGCCGGGCGCGTGTGCGTGCGTGCCCAAGATCCCGAGAGGAGAATGGAGGAGAAGGGATTGCAGCGTGACCATCCCCCCTGGGGGGTGATTTCTCGCTTTCTGTCTCTCTGTCTCTCTCTGTCTGTCTGGCGAGCGCACGCGCCCTACAGTGAAAATCTCTCCAAAAAATAATAATAATAATAATAATAATAAAAGGAAGGAAACCCAATATTGAGGTTTACAGCCTTTAGGTCAAATCTAGCCCAGTGCCTAGTTTCGAAAACAGTTTTAAACACAACACACCTGTCTGTTTATGAACGCTCTGGGGCTACCTTCTGGCTACAAAGGCAGAGTTGCAACAGAAACTATAAGACCTGCAAGCCTCCCATATTTACTATCTGGTCTTTTGCAGAAAAGGTTTGCCTGCCCATGCCTGAGGCAGGGGAGTCACAAAACAGGCAGTTATGGGACCAGCAGTTGGCGTAATAGCTATGTTGCTGGACTCCCCTGTAGTTGACCATGATTCGAATCCCGAACCCAGTGGCTTAAACTCACGCCAGGCGCGTGTGCGTTTGTGCCCAAGATCCCGAGAGGAGAATGGAGAAGGGACTGCGGCGTGGCTATCCCCCAGCGGGTGATTTCTCGCTTTCTGTCTGTCTCTCTTTCTGGCGAGCACATGCACCCTATAGCAAAAACCTCTCCAAAAAAAGAAAAAACAAAAACAGGCAGTTAATTATAATAAGTCATGTTGATTGGGCCAGCAGGTAGCATGCTAGTTAAGGTGCTGGACTCCCACAAGGCAGATCATGGTTTGAGTCCCTGACCAGGTAGCTTGAAAATCACTCTGGACAAGTGTGTGTGTGTGTGTGTGTGTGCACGCCCAAAATCCCAAGAGGAAAATGGAGAAGGGATTGCTGCATGGCCATCCTCCTTGGGGGTGATTTCTCACTTTCCCTTTCTCTGTCTCTCTTCTGTGAGTGAACACAGCCCATACACCCCATAGCAAAAACCTAAAAAAAAAAAAAAAAGATCCTGCTGATTTTATTCCTTTTTTAACTTTTCCCAACCTTTCAACTATAAGAAGTTTGTAATGGACCCCTATAGTGTCTTGTATAAACTTTTCATTTAAAAGAAAAAAACAAAGAAACAGCTCAAAGGGTCTGGAGCCAGGCAGGTGGTCTCACCTTCACATCCACACCTTTCTCTAGTCGGCTCTCAGGCTCGGACTTCATCAGCCAGTAGCTACTGAGACTCTTCCCACAGTCTTTAGAGGCTACAGACTTCTGAGGGCTGGAGTTCTCTTCAGCTGCCGTTTCACCTGAGTTCTCAGTCTTGTTACGTTTTCCCACTAGCCCCTTCTCATCTGCAATAGGAGACGCAAACAGAGACATGGCACATGCTTGCCGACCGGTCACGCATGGAGGACAAAGCTTATACTGAGCCAGACCTGGATTCAATCCTAGGTCAGTTAACTACGAGCTCTAGCACCTTAGTCCAGCACATTTATAAGAAACGTCAGTTATTTTGCCTATAAAACTGGACAAGAATGTCCGCTTTACAGGCTCTCTCCTGGATTATCTCTTCAGTGAGACCAGAACACCTCCTAGGGTTCTTCAGGATCCACGGTCCTGGCAGTAGTCAGCAATGTCCTCCATCCCTCACTCTTTCTTCTGTGCTCAGGCTGTTCTCTCCAGTGAGGAAACTGGCCTTGCCAATGATACGAGGTGCACATAAAGCGCTGAGACAATGCCTGGCGTCGTACTAAATGCTCCATAAATACGGGCCAGTATTGTCACGGTCGCTTCCATCTTTCTTTCTTGCTCCTTGTGCTTCAGGGCTGCATCTTTTCTGCTCCGAAAACGTGCTAAGAGAAGGTACGAAAAAAGTCCTCTCGGGACTTTGTAGACGTGGTCAAGAATAGGTTTGATCCTGAGAGCATCAATGTGCTTAGAACATAGCAGGCACTCCACGGCTAACAGGTAAGTCCTCACTGCACATGACAGGCCCCCGGCTCTGTGTGTTCCGCTCACGAACTCGGTTAATCAGCATAACCTGTGTAGTGATCCCCTGAAAAAGGTGCTACAGGTCACACATCCAGTAAGGGAAGAGTGAAGACACGCGGTCAGTACCTGTCACTCAGGTCTGCCTGACTCTGCACTTGATGGCTGCTCCACGCTGCCTCTGAGTTTACGGGCAGTTCAGGTTCCCCTGTCAGCCACTATATATCACCCGTGGCTGTCTAATGCTCAGAACCCAGAATCCCTTCTTAGCCAAATTTCCCAGGGGTCCCCGAAGTTAACAGGCACACCGCCAACACCTTGTGTTGCTGAGTAACTGCAGTATGTTGGTCAATCCGGAACCTTTGCCCTCCCATGAGCTCCTTTCTCTGCCTTCCATTGCTTTGTTTCTGCTCCACATCACCCAGGAATGCTATTCCTCCTCATGACACTGTGATGTCTGTGCACTAAGCCTGGCCTGTGGAAAACACTCCCATTTCTTAATGCTGGACTCTGACCCCCCTTCCTTCTCAGGGCCTTTCCCGTGATTCCCCCCTCCTTGATCCCTGACACTGCATGGCAAATATTCTTGGTACTTAACAAACAGCTGATGCTTGGATGAGCACATAGGCAGAAGCTTGGTGGGAAGAGAAGATGGGGGGGGCGATTAGGGATGATGGAATAAAAGATACACTGCTGGGGCGGCAGGTGGCATGGTGGTTAAGTGCACTGGACTCCCGGAGGGCCGACGGGGGTTCAAGTCCCAGATCTGGCGGCTTGCTTTCTCACTTTATCTCAATCTCTTACTATCTCTGCCTGGGTGAATTAAAATGAATGAATGAATGAATAAATAAATAAAAATAATTCTTAAAAAAAGAAAAAGATACATTGCCAAGGAGTCTCCCCACCAGTGAGCAGTAGAAACACAGAATTAAATGGATCTCAGAATTAAATGGAGCAACGCTCCCTTTTTGCAGCTTAGGTGCATCTCACCTGGGCTAGCAGCCCCAGCCTGCCTCTTTCGGGGTCTCGGCATGGTCTCCCCTCGGGGCTGAAGCGCGAAGGATTCTGGAATCAACCGGGAGGTGCAGGGCGCAATTCTACCGCCCTGAAACCTGCGCAGGGCAAGATGGAAGCAATGAGTGGAAGCCTAGGAGACTCGGACTTTCGCGAAGAACAGGAACGACCGTGCTTGAACCTCTCGGGTCCTCCCCTCCGTTATCTGCGCCATTTCCACCTTGCATAACCGGCCCCTAAACGCCTCAGCTCGCTCCACGACCCTTACCGCCCACGGCTCACCCCACGCCACCCGAGCGCGCGCAGTCCTCCGCGGCGCGGGCGGAAGGCGTGTCTCCCTTGCGCCGACGCCCCGGGCATCTCTGGGAGTTGTGGTCCGGCGTCCTGGGCCTGCGTGGACCCTGGACCGTGGAGCCCCTGGTGGACTACAACTCCCAGGGTGCAGCGGAGGAGGTGTAGCCCGGCCAAGGGTCCCGGAGCTCAGCACAGTCCCGGGTGCACGCGACCCGGCGCGGGCTGGAGCTGCTGAGATGCTGGGGAGCGGCTGGCGGG